AGATATGTCCTGACACCCAAACAAAGCAGTTTCCCAAGACTCCCTGTTATTTTCCAAATTAAAGATTTTATGTAAAACAACAGAAAATGCTTCCATTGACTACACCTAAATTCACAAGTTTGATCATCCACAGAAAAAGAGTAGCTTTTATACTTCTGTCCTTTAAAAGTCCTTCTTTGATAGCTCTACATTCCTCCCAAGTAACTTTTGATTAATCCATCTGTTAAATCTCAGAGATGTTCCTATTCTTGAGCTCTTATTTTGATCTAGTTGCACGACTTCACAGACAATTTACACATCTGTACAGTTAAGATGATAGCTGTGATGTCCTGAGGATATTTTTTCACCAGTACTATGAAAGCTCCTAGCAAATTGGCACTTGCTGCTTGCTGCCATTCTGATTTTGATCTCCTGACCTCCCATCTCAATACATGGATCATTTGGGACTGCTAGGCTCAGTTGCCCAGTATGCTTATCACAATCATTAGCAGTGAGAATTGACCAAACATACACTCCTGCCAATGCAGAATTGTTCCCTCCTCGTCTGTCCGCTTTCTTGGGACCAAAGTCTCTCCAAAATTTCGGTCCAATATACTATCCAATACACCTCTACTCCAGTAGCTGTGAGTTTAACAGCAGCGCTAAAACAGAAACAGCTCTAGTGACAGAGCAAAGATCAGGCCACCTCCTGCAGTTTCTTCGCTTGTCTGGGACAGGCCCATCTTGCAGACCACACTCCTGAACCAAACAGATGTATCACCACAACCCCCTGTGCTTTCTGGGTCATCTCACACGCACATTGCCATGCATCTGCCTTTAGAAGTTTTCCCACTGCACAATGTGTTGCCCTCAGAACGATTATTGGATAGTACACTAAATCAAAATTTTGGAGATACTTTAGTCTTTCTTTTCTTTCAGGGTCACTGTATCAAAACAACATCAGCTCTTGTCACATGGCCATGGGGTAAGCTTCAGGGAGTCCTATTTTACTAACGTCATTTCAGAACTCCCCTGTTTTTAATATACTGCTGTTTGGCTGTTTTAATCAAGTCTATTCCCATCACTCTGATGGGAATAAGCCACTGATCTTGTTATCCATATGACCACCTGGGAGGCATAACAAAACACATGACAACACTTATACAACAATAACATCTGAACAACACATTTTCTTTTTTCCATTGGAAGCAATGGCTTTTTTTTTCATGGTTCTCAAGATTTTAGCATCTTCGTATTGGGAGTTCAGAACTGTGAGCTAAGGAACAACCTCAACTACCGTCCTGGCCAATGAGGTTTGAAGGCTCAAACCCTTCCCTCTTGGAAAAAGTATATAACATGAATCCAATTGATTAGATATTCTATTTTGTTGCCACTGGGGATAAAGCTCCAGTTTTGTCACACTGATGAACTGAATGTACAAATTAACAGGCCCAAGAGTATAAAGCTTACTTCTTTGCTCACCCATCTAAGGCTTTTGCAGTCTCACAAGATCTTCACCTCAGGTGAACTGAAGATGGTTGAGAACATAACCCAACCAATATGCTGGATAGATCATCACACCATTAAGACAGCTTCTTGGCATATTATCCCAGTAAATTACAAAACATATTAAAAGGAGAACAGAGAATAGGAAATCAGAGGTCTAGGAAACAGCTTCATATTTTACTTAGCATAACCAGCACCACATAGAACTTTTTACTTGATTCCCTGCAAGGGTGTTCTAAGATTCCTAAGGCTATGCACAAGATACAGAGCAAAAGGTAGAAATCTGAGCAATAGCAGTGGAAAGCAATGGCTGATGCATAACCAGCAAAAATAGGGCAGTGTGAGATGAAGAACAACTTGCCGAAACTGCATCTGAGCAATATTACATTGTTTCTGATGGAGGATAGCAGTATTTCAAACAGTCTGCAGTTACCATCTAGTCCTTTTTCAGTTGAAAGTATACATTCACAGTCAGCCAGGTCACCTGACAGCTTTGGAGCACGGCTGAATGTTTCATTAAGTATGTTTTACTGATTGCAAGTATTCACAACTTTGTCACTTCTTGTAAGACCTCTGTTAATGCAATATACACAAAAATGAAGCTTTTGATGCCCCAAAAGCTTCAGCAAATATAGAGCACTGTGGGACATCTCCCCACATTAGCTGCCACAAACAACCTACCTACCTTACCACGCTCTCAGTTCTATGAAATACTGAGCCAAGCTTATTAGATTAGATTTTATGTCTATGGACTGGTCCTAGGAATCTAAAGAACTGGCTAATGCACTGGGATGAAACCCCTTGGTTAGCTTAGTTTTTCTGGCACAGGGGATTTGTCTGCTGTCAGAGTAAGGCTTGCTGTCTGAAGCTGTGTTATGAACTCCCCTGGACAGTAAAAAACACTCCAATTGCAAGCCATGGTTCAACTTCGTACACTAGTCAAGGTCTGAATCAGTTCCTACTGAAGTCAATGGGAAAGCCTTCCTTCACTTTAACGGATGTTCAATCATGCATAGGTGTTACTGTAACCATCTCTTGAGTTTTCAGTTGCAGAAGACTTCTGTATTAGAGGATTACTTAGATAACATGAAGTTCTTCACTTAATGTGCTATTTGATCCTCTCTGTGCAAAGGTTAATCTTCACTGTTCATTGGTTTTGATATGGCCACTATTCTTGTGAAGTCTGACTCTCGCAACTCTCACAATTTCTAATGCGTTTATTCACTCAGTATGCCTTTTACTTAGAAGTACTACATTTTCATCTAATAAATCACTCTGATCTTACAGAACGAGTTGTCAGTGTCTCAGCAGAATACATCAAGTTACATAGTTAAAAAAGAAATAGTTGTTACAGAATATACATGGGTAAATAGTATACATGTATGACTAAACATGTTTCCATATAAATGTAAATTTATAAATGATTCAAACTAACGAAATGCTTACCAGTTCAGTGCTAAGTTATATATCTAAAAAGCCTAATAATATCTATTTCCATTAGTGTCTTTAAGCGTCAAACCTCTTACAAGGAGGAGATAACACATGATAAACTGCAGAGCCATGCAATGAAAGGTATTTACTGTGCATATGCTGACATATAGTTAGTTTTGTGCTCTTTAGACATGTCTCTGGAGACCTGTAAACATATACAAATAAAATCAGGTCAGTAAAATTTAGGTTGCAAGTTTCCCATTTGCTGGAAATAATTATTCATTAGGGGAAGGTTTGTTTTCAACTGGTATCAACAGTTTGGAGCTGGATGTTAGATTAACACCCTCAGGAGATGTCTAGTGATAACATAGTAAGAAAAGTGATCAAAGGTGAACCGTAAACACAGTTTATGACGTAGCCTTGCAGTTATTCACCACACAGCCTCAGCACCACATGGATACAGTTCTTTCTTATTTTCCTGTATGCTCAGCTTACAGACATCATATAGTATGCAAATAATAATCTGTAACACACTTACGTGCAATATCTGTTGCAGCTAGAGTTACCCCTAACCCCACATCCCCATCTTTCAGCTCCACAGTCATTAACATGACACTAACTTTGAAATTTGCGTCTTTATATTCATGTTATCACCTTTCAAATTTATACTTGAATTGTGTGGTTAGAGCCTATTTTGTATAAAAAGCACCTGCACCCTGAACCTCTTACTCTTTGAAAGGGTTAAATAGATTGAGAATAGTACTGCAGTTCAGTGCTTCATAACTCGTATGTACCTTGCAGTCAGGGGTTTTGTCTCCTCCCTGCACTGAATGACAGTTCAATTGTCTCTATCAAGGGTGCCTAGAGGGAGGAATCCATATTTATTAATTCTCTTATCTCAGCAAGACAATATCTCTTTTTTTTGGCACATTCCGTTTTCTTATATGTCAAGTGCCCAAACTCAAGATTTGAATACACAGACTACAGATGCATACACAAATGAGGCAACAAAAGTAGTGACACATAGATAGAGAGAGAGAACCATTTTTCCCTTGCTCCGGGCTAAAACTGCAGCTAAGCTGGTTCTTTTCATAAAGCATCCTTGACTAGCTAAACCAATTGAGTGGCGGGTAGCAGTGATAGAGGATCGCATTACAGCGAAGAGCTGTAACAGAAACTGCAGCGCTACTGCAGTTCAGTGAGACTGTATGATTTTTGGCAGGTCAGATTCTGTACTTCCGCTTGCCTTTGAAATACTATCAGCACCACAGCTGTAGTGGCATATGGTTACCAAAAATACTGTGATGGTATCACTAATAAAAAACAAAATTTATCCAGAGAAAGCTGTACTTATAAATAAGTAATAAATGTCAGTTTCTTTTCTTATAATTATTTTATTTTTTCTTTGGCTTAGAGCCTCTCTAAGGTTTCCCTGCTATTTATTGCACTTAACTGCACATGACTCAGGATCTTTAACTTCAAGTCAATAGGGACTGTGAGTACTATGCGTTGAAAGGTACTTTTTAAACCATCCACAGCAAGACTTCCCCTTAAGTTGTTCTGTATTAAAGAAACCTTTGCTCTTCAAGACAAACATGCTGGAGTGTGCCCTATGCCAAAGCTGCTAATAAGACAGTCTTCTCAGCAGGGAAATTTTCTAAAACCGAGGTTCCAAGAATACAGCCTAAATATGAGCCCCATGTCTGTAAGCAGATTTGTGCCAATGGCCCGTGACATCCACGGAGCTCTTTAGGTATACCACAGCTTACCCAGCTGACCGTAACCACAGCCAGTTTCCCCACTATACACATGGAGTTTCCTGAGCTTTCAGATACTTGTCAATCAAAAGAGTCTTACTACAAATTACTAAGTACAAAAAGTGCAACAGCACATCAGTGCCTCCTATAACCTTTTCAGAACAGCATAAATAAAGGAAGCACTCTGGTCTTTTCTTACTCGAATATTTTCCCCTACTAGGCACTGGAAGGATTTCAAGTGAAATGATGTTTTTTTAGAATACATATTCTCTCATAAATGAAGCCTAGGGCCAGATTCTCTGTAGTCATTCCCTTGGGTGTTAGTACCTGGTGCCTGTGCCACTGCCACTCTTCACTGCTCCGTCATCGGTGAAATTAATGGTGCCGGTCCAATTTGCCAATTCCTCTCCATTCTGCCAGCTAAACTGCAGCCCTCTAGCAAGAAAATGAGGCAGTTGATATTTGATATCATTCATTAGGTTAACTCTTTCAGCATGAGTTCTTATGTCTTTTTTCTTAACACAGTGGTATGACACATTCACCAAAATCAATAAAAGGATATCAAGAACCACAGGTCTTACTACTGAAAACAATTAACTTTCATTCCTCAGAGCCAAATTCTGCAAGTCCTTGGCTGCAAACAGCATCAGCCTCCCCATCCAAATTAGAAGGTCAGTAATCATATGTGCTCATTGGCAACATATATATGCATGGCATAAGGTGGAAATTTCATTCCCAGAAACATAAGCACAAAAAGCTGGACACAATATGAAAAACTGCAGTGGATCCACAGGGCCAAAGAGGAAAACCCCCAAACTTTAATTTTACAAGTACAGTTGTTCTCAAAGGGTGGTGGGGACTGGGTCTTTCCTCTGATTTGTTGGCCATGATAGCAAAAGACTTGTCATTATTTCTGATATTTGATGACTTGTCCAAGTCACACGACACTAATTCTTCTCTCCGTTTCGGAAGATGATATTTTTTAAGCAAATGTGTAACACAGTCATCACTAGTCCCTGTCTTCCAAACTTTCACAAATCCACCGAAAAGTTCTGCGGGGCCTGCAGTCTTCTGGCAACTACCAACTCTAGTTAGGTAGGAATCTCACATATATTTTAAAAAGCGAGGTCTGAAGAAATGTTTGATACTAAGAGCCAAATCCTTCCTTTAGCTCAGAAGTCAAAGAAAAAGAATCTTGCAGATTGTTATTTTTAATCTTCTCCATTTTAGCCCAATTTCATGATTTTAGAAGCTTGGCAGCTAAGTTGTGAACATTTGGTGCTGCCAATGCTGAAAGTTAACGTCCTGGCTGGGCTGTGTGGGGACAGCCAGGAAGCGATCCGCCAGCCCACTCTGCCCGAAATGAAGGGCATCCAGGTTCCGGCCAGGTTTCTTGGTCAACAGGCTGTTTACAAGGACTAGAGCATCTCTCAGACCATCTCCTAGCTCTAGTCAAATTGGCAGCAGTTATCTGTACAGGAAATTAAGTAGGAAAGGCCTGTGGCATTAAAACAGGGCCTCTCTGCTTCCTGCAGCAGAAAAGGGGAGTAGCTTTAAATGGCTCTGAAAACATATGGTAGGAGCTTATTTGTACTGTATTGCGGAAATGTGTGCGCGCAGTATTTCCTTGTTGCCACAGTCATTTTAACACATTTGTAAATCCCAGTTGGCCTGGGGATTTACATCACCTTATCTAACTTTAGCTGTTTGGCTGGTATCTGCAATGCAGGCATGTCTACCCGAGCTAATTGTCTTGGTTCTTAAAACCCGGCAGAGAGTGGCTCAGTGCAGTCAGTGCAGCTTAGGGAAAGATATACCTGATCAAAGGCTGGCCCCTACTCCAGGAGGAGCTGATCCACCCCTTAAATTCTCTTGACTATACTGACTAGGCCTCCATCAGCAGTACAGGGAGCCTGGAGTGCCTTCAGGTGTGGGCACACGTTAGACAGAAGCATCCCACCACCTAGGTGAAGTGCAAGGCATGCCACCACAAATGTCCTCTTCCCTCCTGAAAACTATGTATTTTGAAAGAATTTCTGAAGATTACTCTTGCATGTTTTGTGCCTTTTAATCTTTTTGTTAGGTTGTTTTTTATTGAAAATAGACTTTTGGGGAAAAGCATTTTGGGGGGGTGAAGGAATTCTGAAAGTGGTAGGGAGTCATTTAAACACTCAGAACTGAAGAGCATGAAGGACTGGCCTCCAAAACTGCTTCCTTGCCTGCTAAGCTGTTAATCACCTCAAGAGCTGAGAGAAAAGCACTATGAAATGTTGAAAAAGCTTCCTCTGAACCTTTCAAATGCATTTTCATTTCCTGCATTTTCCCCAACTTTCAAATTCTGCTTTTTCAGAAAAAATGTTTTAAGTATAAAAACATGAACAATTCAAAACAAAGGTCCTTTTTTTCACTCATAGAAGATCCATTATGACTCCCTCTTAGTTAAATACATGAATGCAATTCCCCTGCTTTCCAGAAGATCAGGCGAGATACAGAACACATGGAAGAGACTATGCTGATTACTATAAGCAAAATGAGATGATACTGCACGCTTAGAGCTTGCCTTCAGTTTGGAAAGAGCTACCTTGGTGATCAACTTAGAGGATCAGATCAAACACAAAAAATATAACAAGCAAAGACTTTTTCTTCAGCCTCTCCTGAGATTTAAATTATCATCCGGAAGGATCTATCTCCTTCCACCGACTATAAGGTTTAGGCGCAATGGCCAGGGAGTCCCTTACGTTCCACTTGCCTCTGACTGTTCCTATCAGCTGAGGTTGCCCAAGGTGACTACTTCTGAGTAGACCATTGGTGTGAAGAAAGTATGAGAAAATTCTCACTTTAATGAAGACACCTTCACTTGTAGCCTTGTTGAAATAAACACTTATTCTATTCTATGTACCACACAGTTGTTAGAGAGGGGAATGCATTTTTCTGCTGCTCTTTATGACCCTGATGGAAAAGTGTTTCATTTCAATGTGCATGTCCTTTTAAAAGGTATCTAAAGGCATGCCCTTGAAAATATGTTTTCACTGCTAAAGGTAGCAGTGAATGATACATGAGAAGAAATAGTAGAATTGTGGGAAAAACAAGTTTGAATTGGACTCTTTAGTTGCATCTAAATTAGCAATTTTAGCCTTGGATACTTACTTGCAAACTGAAATAGAGAGCAGTAACCTAGATATGTAGCTGATACTGGTGTGTCCTTCAGAGTTGAACTCTCCTAAAACACAGACAATATTCTGGCAGATGAAGAATTAATACATGCGGTAAAGTTCCTTCCCTTGTACATCTCTACTCCGCAAGTAACAGCTGGAAGCAAAGCTAAGCAAGTGCTCAAAGGCGGAGGGGAGAATCTGTTCATAAAGCAAAAGAAATGCTAAACTCATTCTTTAATGCCCTCCTCTCATCAAGCCTTTTTTGGAATACAGTGTACTGCAGATGAGGAACCCAGTTGAAAGGAGGACATGCATTTTGGGTAAGATCCAGGAGGAGATCAGGAAGACTAATGCTGAGGAATGGTAGATATGTCTTATGAGGAACAGCTTAAAATACTTAGCTTTGAAATGGCAGAATGGGGGGATCTAATTAAGGTACAAAAATATCTAATGAGGGCAAGCAGGGGTCTGGGTATGAACCTTCTCCCCCTCTGTGGTAAAGACAAATCGAAAGGCTGTGGGCTGAGCTTAGGGTCAGTAGCAAGCAAATGATCCTGAACCGAGCAGAGAAAGGTGACTATATGGTGCTTTCCTTCTGACAAACAGGAACTCAGGAGTTTAACACCACGTGGACTTAGGGCACAAAACACATCACAGAAAAAACATTACACTGCTCATAGGACTTGTGTCTCTCACTAAGAGTCTGCAGGACTGGGCCCAAGCTGCTGTACTGCATTTTCTGGAGCAACGGTACAATAAACTTATTCCTCCTGCTAAGAACAACCCCCAGAAATAATGGTTTGTAGTGTTAGAACTGAGTAGAAATTGAGGATGAGTCATCTGAAAACACTGACCTGAATTAATTCGCTTCCTAACAAGATTACTGAGAGTTTTACCATTGATTTCAGTCAGCCTTGCTTTAGGAGATTTCAAGTTAAAAAATATGGAATTTGCTAATCCTCTCAGTTGTGAGGGAGACCTTGCAACTGTTAGTGCTCATAAATGCTGTCTGTGCAAATCTGTAAACAGCTTGAGAAAATAGATTGGAGATGTGAACTGCTCCACCAGTATATTTCTTTGGGATATGATGGTAGTTAAAATCTAGCACATTCACTCTCAGTACTACCTTACATTTTAATAGGCAGACAAAGAAGAAGTAAATTAAGCTTCTGTGAATAAGAATTGCAATAGGAAAGCACATGCAGCATGGAAACATGGAGAAGGAAGAGAGAAGGAAGCAGGACAGAGAAGAGAGTAAAAAAAGTTAAAAGAGGGGGAGAAAGGAACTGAAGATAGATGTACTGGTCATACATAATTTGGACAGTTCATGTCAAATAATCAAAAAAAAAAAAGAAAAAGCTTGGGATCATTACCCGTGTTTGACGGTGGAACTGGGCCATTTGCTCAACTTGTCCTAATGTCATTTCCTTCTCAAATTAGCATGATTCCCCAATGCATGATGCTGATGATGACAGGGGAAGTCTTTACCAAAGATATAATAACCAGAAACACTCTTACGTCAGAGATGCTTGTTTTGCCCATTGACTTTGAGCAAATTTCTCATCGGGGGAGCTCTGCTGTGGGCAAAAGGAGTACTTACATACTGGCTTATAGACATCATTAATCATAGGGCTTACCCCTAACAAATATGAGTATAAACACTCTTGCGCTAGCAAACTCCCTAAGTTGGATGTCTTAGCAATAAAGAGCTGCAGTTTCAAGTAAATTCCAAAGCAGTATTTTGATCCTAATTGGTAGCTCTACATGTTGAATCAGCGTGTGGTCAAATAAACACTGGCATAATGTGAGGATAGCGGGAGGCAGTGAAAAAGAACCAGAAAATTAACAAAGCAGCAACGATTCCGAAGGGCTTGTCAAGAGTGGCTGTCAAGAAGTAGCAGGAAGCAAAGCAAAAAGCCTGTTGCCGTAATCCAAACAAGAAACAACTCCTGTACAAGCGGAGGTTTTAATAGCAGAGAATGTCAAACAATTATGGGGTTTTTGAACTATTAAACAGACAAGAATGAACAAGTGCATAGACTGCAGCAAGAAGCTCAGGAGCTGTGCCACTGCCGTATCACGGAGATCCCACCTGAGGGGCATCTCATTGCCTTTCTGAAAATTCATCTCAAACAAGAAGGAATGGTTCTTATATGGGAGGTATTCTACAGTCAGTAAATGGAGAAGACCCAAAAGACTTCAGGTATTTGCTGGCATCCTGTCTGGGCTCTAACCAGACAGCAGGCCATGATCATGCATGCTGCAGATTTTTTTTCAGGA